ATTACATCCCCAGCATCTGCGGTTGTAGAATTAAGCTGTACAAGGGTTCATACACCGCTAGTTGGCAGTGTTGTGCATATATTGTACATTTGTTGCCAGCTGGTAAGTGTCAAATTGAACTTGTGCTTTAAAATTAGCTTCCTCTAGTTTTTCTATGGCATAAGGGTTTTTGAAGTTGCAGACCGAAATTATTTCATAAGCACTTTAGAAATTGCAGAACTAATATTTGGATTAGCGCTGCCCACCACTGGTATACAGTCAAAAGAGACTTCCAGCAGATTTTTTATATTCCATTTTCAACATGAACAATCAGTGTTGGACAAAATGTTCACAAGTTGGCATAAGTTGTCTAAAACATTATAGTGTGMCAGGGCCTGGGTATTGTTTATCACTAGCTAGTACCACMATAAATATTGGCTTAATATTTTTATTTGACTGAATTGTAGCCATCTTTGTGTTTAGTAARGTAGTTGTTACAGTCATCTTAAATCATCTTAAGATAACATCTTAAACTAGTCATTAAAATTTGTTCAGTTCTATAAATATTTTGCTAAAATMCATTGTAATAATAGTTAACAACTGTTAGCAGCCAGTACTGTTGCTGGAGATCCCTGTCAACTACTGTCACCAAACTCAACTGGACAGATGTAGTTTGATCAATCTTATTTTTTCACCTATTTTACACCATCATAACAGCAAAGGTTAAGATGATTCAGAAAATACTTTAAAATCATAGAATGCCATGCATACTAGAACAAAAAATGATATTTYATTGCATTTCTAAGAGTCAGTTGTGCATATTTAGACAAGTTTGTATCTCTAGCACAACTATCAGTTAATTTGGCTAACTGTACAAAATTGTCAGCCATTTAGAAAAGGCTCACCGTCACTTCTATGTTTCATGACTGAACCATCACCAGAGGTATCATTGTACATTTATTATTTTATTATACTGGTACATACACCACATGTGGTCCTACAGCTCATTCCCTGAATTCTCGTTATTTAAGTGTGACATCATTCTGCTAACCTCGTTAGTGATGTCGCCTGGCTGACCAAGCTCGTTGCTGTTCCTGCCATCGTCTCTTCCTGAGCCCGGTCCTGTAAAAATAAAAGAAAAACACTGAATGGACACAAAGTAAGACATCTGTTCTGCTATTTGAGAGAAAAAACATTGTTTCTGTTTACCACCAAAAGGATTCCAAGAGCTGAGAAGCACCCAAAACAAATACAAAGAACCAGGTCTGAACAAGGCCTGTAAGTCAGTTTAGGCCACAAAGAAGTTACATTTGTAAAAATGCTGCTGATCACACTTATTTCACTGTTTGTTTGAACAGCTTGGAGTTTAGTTCCAAAGTGGGGAAAAAAATCTAAAGACTAAATAGTGTTAAACAAAGACGAGCTGGATTTGAATAKTTGGAGAGAAAGTTTTGAGATTGGACTAACACTAGCACAACTAAAGCATGAAGGGTAACATCCCATCACTCACTTGTCTTCTTTGGTTTGTTAGGGTCAAGCTTCTTGATAGAGTTGCTTTGGCCGAGGCGGCGAACCGGACTGGTCAGCCATTTCCTCAGAGTGTTTCCAGAACGTTTGGGACCTGGAGAGTTGGACTGGAGTGAGGCGAGYGACGGCTGCAGGTTCACCACAGATTCTGTCTTCCCTTCAGAGCTGCCGACGTGGTAATTCTCTGGAAGGAAATAATGATAAATAATTTATAAATAAAAATAATAAATCCATTAAAATGGCAACATAAAACAACACTGTGGGGCTGAGAATACAACAGATGTTCTTGTCTGACAGCAGAAATCAGACGGAGCTAGTGGACTCAGTTTACGAGCTGTGACCAGCAGAGGGAAAGTGGACTTAAATCAAACRGCATTTTTGGAAGCCATGGCAAAGAATGGTAATTATTTTGTGACTTTATTTCACTCGTTTTGGCCATTGTTGTGTTGTGTTTGCCATATATAGATATTTTAAATTGAGGAGGGGCAAATCAAGTYGTGGTGACACCAAACAATGGAAAAACAGCAAAAGTTAAAGGGCTGCAGCAACTAAAACACTGTCCTGTTCATTGTGACTTCCATGGTGAAGTATGAAAAACTGTTGGTTAAGAAAAGTCAGGTTTTATTAGATCACATTAACAGGTTAAATGTTTTACAGTAGTTTTTATTGCCAGTTTCTGTGATTCTGTYCACATTTTTAGATAAACCTATTTTATTAATTTCTGAACAAACCAGGCCCATCCATTATCTATACACACTTCTTCCTTTCAGGGTCACATGGGTCACTGAYGCCCATATCCAGTGGTGGGCACCAGTCCGCTAAAGCGCAAATCCACTAATTGCGGACCTAAATATTTTGTTTGGGCTTTAGCAGTCTTACTAATTTTTATAATTCATAAGCTGATTTGCGCTTTCTAAAATTAAAATGCAGTAATAACTAATTATCTACCAGTTATCATTATCTTGAACAGCAGAAGGTATGDCTGTCAATGAATCACAACACATGATCTATCCAACAACACCCCTCCCAGATAAACACACTTATTATGAAGATATACATCCTGCTGACTGTTGCTTGGGTCAGGGTTCTGTTTTCCCACAATGCTTTGTGTCTGCTTACATAGCAGGAAGGCAATAGCCAAAACAGTTAACGTTTGTAATCCATATAAAAAATTTGTACGTATTGATTTATTTTACTTTACAATCGGAGCTCCTTTTTAATAAAAAAAAAGTTTAAACGCTGGAGCTCAATACTTGACATTATTGGTCGAAGCAATTGGCCAACGGTGTTAGAGATGCAGAAATGATTTAAAGATGTTATGTTGATGAAGACTGACATCTAGTGGTCAACTGGAGCAACTACATGGAAAACCTTAAAATCCAAGCTCTTATTTTGAAGGGAAGATAGTTTCCTGTACTCCGTCCATTCGTTTCCCATCACAAATCAAATCTGTCATGTACCCAGAATGCATCGCTTCAGTTTTCCAATAAACAGTTTTAAAATTACTTTATTGATKCTTCTTTAATGAAAAATCTACAACAAACAAAAGAAAAAGACAAAGAAGCAGCCGAACTAGCAATCCTCAACAACTGTTTAATTTTTACACCAGGAGCTAAAGGACTGTTTCAGGAAATCACATCCCCAGCAATCGGCGGTTGTAGAATTAAGTTATAAAAGAGTTCATACACTGCTAGATGGCAGTGTTGTGCATATATTGTACATGAATTGTTGCCAGTAAGTGAGTGTCAAATTAAAATTGCACTTTAAAATTAGTTACGGCTAGTTTTTCTATGGCATAAGCGCCTTTGAAGTTGCAGACCTAAATATTTTTGTAAGCGCTTTATAAATTGCAGAGCTAATTTTTGCATTAGCGCTGCCCACCACTGCTTATGTCCAGCAGTCACTGTGCAAGGGGCGGAGTACACCCTGGACAGTTCAAGTCAATCACAGGGTAACACAGAGACAAATGAGACAAACAACTATTCACTCTCTCACTCACACCTAGGGACAATTTGAGTAACCAATTAACCTAACAGTCATGTTTTTGGTCTGTGGGAAGAAGCCAGAGTACCCAGAGCGAACACACAGAGAGAACAGGCAAACTCTACCCAGAAAGGTCTCTGAGCTGGAATTTGATCCAGTGACCTTCTTACTGAGAGGCAACAGCTCTACCAACTGAGCCACCGTGCTGCCCTGGTCATGACATCAGGTCATTTTTGGTCCTAAAAAAGGTTTCATTCCTGAGTTTCTTTTAATACATACATATACAGTATGTATGTATGTCTAGCTGAAGTAAATAAACAGAAGGAACAAGATTTATACAGGGACGCTTCTGTACAGTGTAACATATAAGGATATCTTTTTCGTCACAGCAAGTCATCCTCCTACATCTTCTGTCCTTTGTCTTCACTCCAACTACTTCCATGTCTTCTCTAATGACATACATACTGTTTATCTCCCCAGTGTTTTTCCAGGCAGTTGCATCTCTAACATTCTTCTACCAATAAACACCCCTCTGAACATGTCCAGACCACCTCAGTCTGACCCCTCGATCTCTATCTCCTAGTCGTTCCGCCTGTACCTGTGATGATCTAATCTGTTCCCTCTGTGTCACCCCCAAGAAGAAACTTCTTCTTCTTCCATTTCAGTTTCCCATTGTTGTGTCACTGCCACTTTCTCAAAACCACACAATGCAGTCTACAACTACTCTCTTCTGAACCTTTGTGTGTTGCTTCCCGTTTTGTCACAAATTACTCCAGAAACATTTCACCATTTCCTCCATTCTGCCTGGACACTCTTTGTTACCACTGTACCTCACTGCTTGTTTTCCTGGATAGTTGACCCTACACTGCAAAAACTGTCCATCTTACCAAGTTTTAAAATCTTATTTCAGCAAAAAAAGTCTTTTTGATCTTGTTT